GAGTAAAAGAGCATTCGAGGAATGCAGAGAGAGAGAGAGCCAGGCTCCCGCTCCCCACAGCCCACCAGCAGGCAGGACATCCCACAGCCCACCTGAGATAGGACACCCTACAGCCCACCTGCAGACAGGACACCCCACAGCCCACCTGCAGACAGGACACCCCACAGCCCACCTGAGACAGGACACCGTGAGACAGAGCTGGAGGCCAAGGAGACGACAGACCAGATTTGCATGTTGGAAACTTTCTGTTTGTCAGGGGAAATGGGTGAGAGGAAGTGAAGACCCCAGACTCAGCCTGGAGCTTGTCCTGGAGAAGAGGCTCCGTGGAGCCTGGGGCCCTGGAACAAGTGGGTGGGTGACAGAAAGCCAGTGACACCGCGACGTGGGGCTGCAGGGGACGGAGGCTCTAGGAACGGTGCTCCCATGACACCCGCCTCTTGGTGAGGAGGAAGCCGGAGTTGGAGAGCAGGACGTCTGCTCTGGAGGGAAAGTCCTGGCAGGTGCCCCCTCCCCAGGCCATGCAGCAGAGGTCATCTGGCCCTGCAGGCTCTTCCTCACTCAGAACCCTGGCAGCAAGCGTCCAGCCAGCTGACCAGTCACAGCCAGGTCACTTAATCCCAAGGTGCTGGCATGATGCCGACTGGCTCTGCAACCCGGGGGCGGGGGGGGGGTGTTGAGAGCGCTGGGAGCGAGTCAGAAGGGAGGGAGGGGGTCAGCAGTTCTCCAGAGAGATTGTGCCCCAGAAGACACTTGGCCATGTCTGAAGATGTGATTGTCACAACCTGGAGCTGGGTTCTACTGTTATCCAGTGGGTAGATGCTAGGAAACCACTCAACAGCCAATGGCAAGGCCCAATAACAGACAGTGACCTGGCCACAACAGCAAGACCACTGGGGCTGAGAAGCCCGGCCCGAGATGAGAGGCCCCTTCCTCATCGCACACCACACCCTTGAGCAGAATCTGGATGGAGGCCCCCACGAGACCCATGGAAACAGAGTCACAAGAGACTCTTGGCCTAATCCTAGGTCCTGGCATCTGGGGACCTAGGAGACAGAGGCACAGGACAGAGCTCAGAGGCTTAGAGTGGAAGGGCAGGGTGGAAAGAAGGGTGCTGCAGGAACCCCAGATGGCCTGGCCCAGGGAGAGGACCACAGTGCAGGGAGCTGGGAGAAGGGCACAAGGGCAGAGAAGGACCCGCAAGAAAGGGCCACCACCACTTTCCCCGCCAGGTACAGTGTCAGGGCGTCCACAGTGCCCGTGGGCAGAGGCCCATTCCTATGACCTGGGGCCGGTGGAGGAGAGGGAGAAAGCTCCTGGTGACCATGAACTGCTCGTGGGAGGAAAGCTCTCGGGAACTTGGGAAGATGACCTGACCCTGCCTGCAGACACAGAGGACCACTTCTACAGAGGAGCTGTGGAAGGACGCAGAGAGGGCAGTGAGGGGACCCGGCCGGAGGCTCCGTCCCAGGGGCACCGTCTCAGCCCTGTCCTGCAGGCCACACCACGTACTGCCACTGAGGGACTGAATGCACAATGAAGGCCCAAAATTATGCTCAGGCCCACTAGTGTTCAAGGAAGCTCAAGTTAACACCAGGTACCATGTGTCACGCTGCGTGTTGGGGAAGAAGAAATTCCAGACCTCAGGAGTGGGTAGGGTCTGGAGAAAGGGCACTTCGGCCGATCCTGGAAGGAATATGAGTTGGTATATTTTTCAGGAAGGTAAAATATCATTAAGATAAAGAACGTGAGTCCCCTGAGGCCCAGACATGCCACAAGCTGGCACACACCTGGAGGAAACTCTGAGGTAAGCACAGGCCACTTACACTCAGGTAATCACCACCCACTGCCCATAATAGCTAAACACGGGAAATAACCGATGGCTGAACACAAAAGTGTAGTCTTTGAAATAAGAAGTGACTGTGAAAAGAGAGGGGATAGATGTAGTGCTCTCAGATGGAAGCCCCCACACCCAGTGCATTCTGCCCTCTTACACACCAGTGCATCTGGAAACACAGGCGCTGGGGAGGTCAGCAACTTGGAATTCACAACACAGTGACCCCCTGAAGTAGAGAAAGAGGTGCAGTCTAGAGCACAGTGCAGAGTCTACCTTTCCAAGGACACTTGGAGTTGTGGCTAAGATCATAGTAGTGCACTGACAGCCAGGGGGTGGGTGTTTTGCAACTCTGAACTCTTTCATAGATATACAGACTTTCAGTGGGAGCAAGAACTCTTCCACATGACTTTGTATCAACTTTCTCCCCAACTAGAGTAGCTGGGTTCTGTGTTCAGGAGGCCAGAGTTAGAGCAGTGGATAGACAGACAGAGGCAGCCCTAAAAGGAGAGAGGGTCAGATGAAGGGTTGGAACTTTTTAACCCAAAGTTGTTGCAATAACTGACCAGAACAGGAGACACTCTCTACCAGCCCTGGGTCACATGCAGTATGATCACACAGCATCAAGGGAAGCATGCATAGCATCTTAAGCACCAAGTCCCCCACCAACAGACCCACAAAGTGCCCCAAACCCACCCTGCTGCTCCGAGCTCCCAGGTCCCTTCCAACTTGAAAATTCTCTTTCTGCCAGAACTCCTCTGTCGAATGCAATCCATAAAAAAATTAATTGCCTGGTGCTTTTTAATAAGGTCCCACCACTTACTAAATAATCCATATTTCAGATTTTTCACCTCTGACATCTGCTCACTGGGTCCTATTTTGACCACTGGAACCAAAGAAAACTCCCGCACACGTCCTCTCCTGGCACAACTTAATCGCGGGCCTCAGAGCCCTCCTCCTCTCCCCCTAATGGACTGGCAGCAGCCACCTGCCAAACCCTCCGTTCCCACCCACGGAGGCCTCGACTCACAGACAGCCAAAAAGCTAAGTCCTCCATAATTTCCGTTCCAAGTTTGCTTCCTTCTACTGCCAGGGAGACAAAAGGAGTGGGGAAAGATTTTCTCGTGAGAAGCCATTCAACTTCCATAATTGGAACAATCATGGATGTGCATCTCCAACGCAGAGAAAACCAAAGCATCATGGAGCACTGAAGGCTTGGCCCTGAATCACTAATAAAAAGATTAATTAAAGGCTTAAGGGTCTGCTTATGGCAGCCTCTTTGGAAACTCCAAGGAAATTAACTGGCCCTCCCAGATGTAGGGATTTCCTCAGGCTGGCACCTTAGTGTGACCGAATGACAGGGTGTCAAGAGTCCTAACAAAGAAATCTTACAAGACTTGCATGGGTTTATTGTTTAAAATTTCAAATAAGGCCCTGGTACCCACAGAGCTGCCTTAAATGGGTCTCTCTGTGCAGTTCCTACAGCTCTGATGTGTTCCAGGGAGTGCAGGAATCCCTCCCCACAAAGCCAGCCTTCACTGGCCTGGGGGATTATCTTTACTTTGATGCCCACCATTTAACACCATCCTTTGGGGTCATTGCATTTAGAGAGAATAAGTCTTCAAAGGAAGGTAAAGGCAAGTTGTTACCAAACAATCTATGAAGGGATCACTCTCCTCCAAGACAGAAAATTGAGTCCCTTGCAGCTTGACACCAAAACACCAGCTTTGATTCTTTTTTTGAACGATACATTTCAGAAGCTCAGACTTCTCCGGCAGAAGTGAAAATTGCCTTCTGGTGGAGGAAGGTTTTAATGATCACTTTGCTTCCTGCGTCTCCATGGTGACAGGGAGCTCACAGCCCACCCCCCTCCTGCTTCATTAGGCCTTTCTTTCTCCCTGGAAAGTAATCAATCAAGCCATATAGACGCCTTTGTGACCGGTTTATCACCTAAACAATCGACTCTGTCGAGGGGTGGAGGAGTAGGCGAGTCCACAGAGTCATGAGACCCGGCTCTGTCCAGGCGCACGCCCTCAGCTCCCTGCCGGCGGCTCTGCCCAGCACACCTGTCCAGTGAGGCGGGCGCGCCCAGGTGCGGCAGGCCCCGGCGGAGTCAGGTGCCCACGGAAACCCGGCCCCGGGAGCAGAGCTCTGCCCTGCCCGGGGGTCCCCAAGCTGGGCCCCAGGAGCTGGGCGGGGGAGGGAGGGCAGAGCTCAGAGACTGCACTGGGCGGAGGCGGCCACGGTCTCTCTTCCCCAGGCGCTGGGCACCTGAGGAAGGGAAGCCCCCTCCGAGGGGATCGCAAAGCCCGGCCGCCAGAGAGGAAGGCACGCTGCGGAGCGCCCGGCTCTAGCCCGGAAAGCGGCTCCTTTCCGGACAAAGGGCTCCGCGGCGACCCAGCCCTGCCTCACTGGGCATGGAACCGCGGCCGAGCGCCGGCTGCCGCGGCTCGCCAATGCTGCTAGGGACACCGAGCCGCGCGGGGACGCGGACCTGGCGCCACCTGCGCGATGCCTTCCCGACCCCGCCCGGCCGCCCCCGCCCCACCCGTTACCTGGGTTCTCCCCGGCGTCGGCGGAGGAGGTGGCCGAGGAGTCGGTGAGGACGGTGGGGTCACTCTGCGAGCGGCCCCGCGACACGAGGCAGCCGCTCCCGTCCTCGGATGCAGCCATGGGCCCGGCAGCGCGGGGGCAAGTTGGAGGGAGCCGCGCGGAATCAGAGCATCCGAGGCGGCCAAGGTCACCGGCGAGGGGGCTGGAGGGGGCGTCTTTTTAAAAAGGAAAAGAAAAAGGGACTGGGGAAGGGAAGGACCGGGAGGAGAACGCCAGGGCTGGCTTCAGGGCGGGGAGACAATAGCCCCGCCGGCTGCAGCCAGGCGCATCCCGGCGTGCGCGGCCTCGCTTGCTTTGTTATTTATTCGTGTTTATTCCCATTCTTCAGTCTATATTCCAGGAAAAAAAAAGTTGAACCAGGAAATAAAAACTTTTTCTTGTCAGTGTTTATTGCGTGCTTGGGGCAGGGGGTGATGTCCAGGAATGTCTGGGGGTGCTCCCTCCCCCACCCCACCCCCCACCCCCCCGAAAAAAAGGAAAAGGGAGAATCTTTGCTCGTGCAATTGCTTTAATCTGAAAGCTGTTCTTGGAGCATCTGTTGGAAAACATTAGGATTCTCCCATCATGCAGCGCGAGGAGCATGACGTCACGGGAGCTGGGAGTGAGAATGAGCGTGGTGATGGGGAGGGGTCTCAAATACTTGAACTGCGCGCTGCCAGGGGAAAGTGGGAGCTGGATCCCGGGTAAGAGCCGCCCACCCATGCCAGCCTGCTCTGGAAACAAGAAAGCGCCCTTCCCTGTCCCTCCCCCGCCCCCCACCGGCAGGAAGGGAGGAGACCCTGGGGGCGGTGCCTACCTTGGAGGCCCAGCTCCCGAGCAGTGGCAGCTGGCTGCTCTGCTTTCCACTCTGGGGATGTGAAGGCCAGTGGGTCCCACGGCACCCCTCCACCGTGGGAGAAGAGCAATCCAAGACTTTATCCCCCCCACATGGCCTGGCCTGCAGGACACCCTTTCTGCCCGTCTGCCCTCCCCTTGGCCCCCACCCCTTAGGAAAGGTGCAGCAGGAGGGGTGCAGGTTCCTTCCAGGGAGCTTCCCCCAGACACCCTTAATGAAGCTGAGGGGACCCGGCAAGGAAGGTGATACTCTAGGGCTGCTGCTCACCGAGGTGCCTTCCAAGGTGCTAATGAGCCCTTCTCACAGTTCTAGATTACGTTGTGGGGTGAGCACAGGTAACTCCTGGTCCCAAGTGACAATGACAACAACCGAGAGGAGTGGAGGGGGTGGGCAGGCACAGCGCTGTGTCACCTAGCCTGGTCCAGGAGATGCCCAGAGGAGAGGGCATCTCAGTAGACACCAGGAGATGCTGGGGGAGAGAGCTCCCATTTCAGCCCTGCACACAACCCCACGGGGCAGCAGTGGAACTGAGGACCAGGGAATTTGCCTGAGATCCTCAACTGTCACCTGCAGAGCCGGGACTGGAACCTCGGGAGGCTGCTGTTATAAGGGTCTGGGGTGCAAGGTGAACACCCTGGCATGCTGAACAACAACCAGTTAGGTGCCCAGGGAGGAAGGAAGAGACGGTGAAGTAGTGGACAGTCACTCCACAGACAGCCCCAGGCTCTCGGGAGTGGCCATGTCAGCAGAGAAAGGGTCCATTCACTTGTTCATTCATTCAAAATATTCAGAGTCTAGTATGTGCCAGGCACCACACCAAGCTTAGGGACCTGTGTAAGCAAACACAGAAATGTCTCCACCCCTGAGTCTTCCAGGAAGGAGGGAGGGGAGGCTGAGGATGGTCACCAATAAGCCAGCAGATGCCAAAGACACATTAAATTAATACCATGAAACAAAGAGGAAGTAGAATTCCACAGGACCTGGATATTTTTTATCCACATACAAATGAGCCGGCTCTGTAGTGACGAACGTGTGCCACCCTGGGCTGAGTGCTTTATACCAGGCTGATTCCTTCCTCACAGCTGCTGGGATGTGAGAGCTGCCCTGGTCTCCGCTTTAGAGATGAGAAGTGAGCGCGGGTCACAGCCAGAAGGTAGAGGGCCAGAGCCAGCCCGTGTTCCCAATCTAGGCCGTCCATGAGCAAGTCCTCTGAGTCCCCACCCAAACCACACTATCGGCATCTCCCGGTCTGAGTGAGTGATGCCTGGGTCAATTCAGTCCCTTCCACAGAATCTGCATGGAAACCCAGCAGGGCTGAGGCTGGTGGGCAGGACCCCATCGATAACTGCCCCCAACCAGGTCTACTGTGCCATGGGCTGGCTCCTGCTGTGTGGAAAAGGTGCACAGGTAAGTCTGAGTTCAGACAGAGAGCCACCAGAGGGAGGGGTCCTCCTCCCCGCTACCAGAAAGATGAAGAGCAGAAGAATGGACTATGGACGTCAGTGTCACCTGGTGCCTTGTCTGTGAGTCACAAAGATAATTTCCAGTCCCTTGACAGGGTCTGCACCCCAGAGGCCTTCATCACTGCACCCGCCCGCATACAGCTGAGGGGTCAGAGCAAACCCAAGGACCAGGCTCAGCATCAGCATCCTGGAGCCAAGGGGGCATGGGAAGCAGAAGACAGAGGCATGGCTACTTATTATTGCTTTAAAAATATATTTTAGCAAAATATTGTGGTTTGTTAAAACTGGGTAGGGATGGAGCTGTTCATTATATTATTCTTTGCCTTCAAGATGTTCTATAATAAAAATAGTTCTGAATTTTTGAAACATTTAGCAGCCCACCCCCCATGCTGGACAGAAGACGGTCAAAGGCCTTGGGTATACAGCCCGCCCCCTCCACACCGTGACTGAGCCCCTGGGGGTGAGGACGGACCTGGCCAGAGGAGTCTCCAGCCTGAGGAGCCATCCTTGTGAAGGTCCCGACTATCCCCTCAACAGATCCCTGGTGGGCAGGTAGCTCTGGAAGCCACTCAGCAGCCCTACAGGAGCCAACAAGGCTTCAGGATGGCCCCAGAGTCCCCAAAACGTCCCAACTGACGGATGGGTAAGTATCGCGTGCTCCACTTACCCACATCCGCTGCCCCGCAGCTGGACCTTGGAAACCCCATGCTAGGGAAAGGAGCAGGCACAAACAGCCTGTGACCTGTGGCTCCACTTTATGAAAAGTCCACAGAACCCGAAAGTAGACTGGCAGATGCCCAGGTTGGGGGGCGGGGCGGGGGCCAATGGTATAGGTCTTTTTTTGAGGTAGGTGCTAGAAATGTTTAAAATGTTCTAAAATTAGATTAGGGTCGTGGTGTCACAGCTCTGGAAATACACTGAAGCCATTGAATTTATACTTTGAATGGATGAGCTTTATGGTACATAAGTTCCTTCAGTCATGCTGCCTTTTTCATTTTATTTATTTTTTTTAATTGCACAAAGGGGCCCAGGCTGAGCTCTGGATCTGAGGAGAGCAGGTGCCACCCCTCACCTGCTGAGCATGATCACCTGGAGACAGACCGAAGTCACTGAGGGGGCCACCTGCAGGTCCTAGGTCAGAAAACCCAGAGCCTACCCCCACCCAGGGCAGCCATGATGATCCCAACACTGTCATCTGAAGGAACCTCTAAGAACCGGGTGACATCAGTCCAAAGGTCCCTTTGCCTCTAAGAAACAGAGTGCTGAAAGTTCTGTCCTCTGCCCTGGGGCAGCCAGAAAGGGTGTCATGGTGAAGGGGACACTGGGCTGGCAGAGCAGAGCACTGCCACCTGCACCTACACACACACCCCCATGCGACCACGTGAGTGGTGGTGAGGAAAGACTGCAGGAGGGCCATCCCGCTCAGCCCCTGTGGTGGCCTCATTGTCACAGGAAGTGCAGGTGAAGAGGCACAACCACCCGTCAACCTTCATGAGCATCCACTTTGTGCAGGAATAGCACAGTGAACAGGACATGTCCTCACCGGGGAGTCTGGTTTCCTTCCAAGGATGGTGGAAAGCCACTGGAGGCAGAGGTGGGTCTGCAAAGGACCCCCTGGCTGCTGTTAGGGAAGAGACCAGTGCTGACCGCAAGCAGAGAGGTAGATCAGAGGCCACCGCCTTGCAGGCGAGAGGGGGAGTGGCCTGGGCCCGGCTGGGGAGACAGACACGGAATGCAGGCTGGCTCCAGGGTCCCTGCAGGCTGTGACTTTGGGGCTGGGATGAAAGGGAGGAGCCGCAGATGACTCCCAGGTTTTGGGGGGAGGCTGATGTGAAGAAGATTAACCAGATATGGGGGGCAGTGTCCAAGTAGCCCCCAAGTCTCATATTGACAATGGGTCAAGTGAGATGCCATTTCCTGGGTGGGCAGGAGGGAAAGGGGGCAGAGAAGAGGAGGAGCATTTGGGGTGGGAAGGGGCACAAGCCCTGGGGCAGGATGACCTGCCCCCACTGCCCACAGGCTGGGTGAGCCCTCTCTGGGCCTCCGTCTCCCCGTCTAAGGAGCACAGTCACTCTGCTGAGCTGCTCCACGAGACCACTTGGGGTCGTGTCCAGTGCTGGACACAGTGGCAGTGGCTCTCGTCAGGACTCCCCGAGGACTGCTGTGTGCCCTCCACAGTCTTGACAAGCATGGCCAGCGTGCAGACAGCGGGCGGTGGGCTGTCCTCAGCCTCTGGCACGGACTGCTGTAGCAGCACTGGACAGCCGCCCCCCCTTCGCTGCTCTTAGTGCCTACTGGCTCTTCTCTCCTAGGCCCTGGTGTCCCTGAAGCCCCCATCCCAAGACCTGGGCTGCTGCCATGTCAGCTCCACAGGGGTCTCTGTCGGGTCTGTTCACCCAAGAAGGTTCCCAGCACTGGTCAGCGCCCAGGACATAGAGCTCTGCCGGCTGGGTAAGTGCGTGCCTGCGTGTGGTGTGCCCAGGGGCATGCCCAGCCTAAGTGCGAGCCCCCGGGGTTGGGAAGGACTGAGCGGTCACCCCACCACACCTTAGTCCACAGCACTTCTCCTTCCATTCACATGAACACAGTGAAACCAGCAAACTTCAGATACTTTATAGGAACTGCTCAAGCTGCGGTCTAAACTCTTGGGAACCAACCAAAGTGGGACAAAAGGGCAAAACACCAGCGTGGGAATTCAAGGACCAAAGAAAAGAAGACAAACCACTCCTCAGAGGACAAGGTTAACACGAGGGCGGCTGCACCCTCTTGTGGCCATCAGGGGAACTGCACCAAAGCAGCCAAGGCGGGAGCCATCCTTGCACTTGGAGAAGTGAACTTAGCCTTGAACTTGACTTCCTTCACCTCAGGACTCCATCTTTGATGGGGGTCTCCACACAGGGCCCAACCATTGGAGGACTCAGGAGGAGTTCAGTGCAATGACAACCAGAACTTTAAATAAAACACTGCTCTTGAAAAACAAAATCCTCCATTTCACCATTGATGTTCCCCGGGAGAAAGGCATCGGCTGCCAGAGTGTTAATGCAGTGGGCATCCCACAGCTTCCTAGAAATGTGCCCAGCCCTCCCTGCAGTTCAGTTCATTATCAGGCTGTCTACAAAGTCCTTTCCAAGCACGTGCAAGATTGGGTCTGGATCTAACAATAGGGGAGCCTTCAGCCGGCCATGTCCCCCCTAAACCTAGTGTGCCAAGGGGAGGGCCCCACCTCTGCCCAGCTCACACTCCTGTGACCAGCACAGGTGCTCTGCAATAGCCGCCTGCCTTCTGCTGGTTCCTGTGTGACCCCCACACTCCACAGGGAGCATGAGGACGGAGAACACAAGCAGGAGACCCCAGGGAAGAGGGAAAACAGCCAGCGGGCTCCTGTGCACGGCTCCATGAAACCTTAAATATTCCAGCGACCCCCTCCCTCCCAGACTCTCCTTTGCAGGGGTGCCAGGATGGAAGCAGGGGGACAGGACCCCTGGAAAGATGGGGGTAAATGAAGAGAGCCCCCCGTAAAGCACGCAGGAACGTGGGCCTTTGCGGTCCTGGCTGAGCTCCTGCTTCCTGACTCTGGGCGTGGAGCAGCGGCCGTCCTCCTACCCTGCAGGGGCAGGAAGGGGGACGCAAGGCCGGCAGCGGAGCAAGGAGCCCTGCATCAATCTTGCCTGAGAGCAGGGCTCTCACCACTCCCTGCTCCGCTCCCTCTGTGAGACAGGGTCCCCAGAACTCTGTGATCACTCACGTTTCTGGAGCTACAACAGACCCCAGAGACAGACTCTGATGCCCCCACTGGGCAAAGGAAGAAAATGAGATGCAAAGCACCTAAGTCCTTGCTGGGGCCACCCACCCTCCGGGGCTCAGACCTGCACTGCATTAACATGCCCTGGCCAAGGTGCCCCATCTGACAGGTGTGCCACAGGACAGAGGAGGACTCCCACAGCCCTCTGAGCCAGCCCACGCTTGGTGCCTCCCACCTCACTGAAATCCCCACCACCAACCCAACTCAACACGGCCATCCAAGACACCCAACACCGGCTCTACCCCATGCCTTGACCTGCCACCTAGACTGCAGGGGGAAGAAGTGGGCGTGTCCAGCACCATGTGGACTCACAGGGAGTGGGTAGAGGCCTGGCCAGGCTGGGAAGGGGCCCAGGCCTTCACAGCACCAGCGTTCACTGAGCACCAGCGTTCACTGAGCACCTGCTTTTGACAGGCCTTGGAGATCTGGGGGAATCTGCCCAGCAGACACCCTGGGTAGGAAAAGTCCGGAGGCATCACACAGCAGAACTGCCCCTCGATTCAATCACAATCAGGCAGACAACCCTTCTTTGAAATTTCCAACCAAAGAATGTGAGCAGGCACGAGGGTGAATGAACTGTGGTATGTGCGCTCACAACAGGCCACAGCGGGAGGAACAGAGAGAGGCTGTCCTGCCTGCGCCCTTCTCCAGGAGTTCAAACACCACCCCACAGTGCTGTCATGGGTCCCTGAGGACAGCGACCAACCTGGCTCCTGTGACAAGGAACTGGGGTCCTAGGCTGCCCTCCTCTGGCCTGGCTTCCTCGTTTGTACCCCAACAGCCCCAGCAGGTTCCCCGGGAGGCAGAAGGTTGGCTCAGGCACTCAGAGACCACGGAGGCCAAGGCGGAGCCACGCTCTAGCAAGATGACAAGGAGGACTTGGTGAAGGACCTAACGGAAGGTGCTGGGAGAGTGAGGGCCTCCGCAGTCCAGCCTGCAGGAGCCACTGGCCCTTCAGAAAGGATGGGCAGGTTGAGCAGGAAGGCCTCACGGGATCCCGAGCCACAGGGTAATACTCAGGTTGTGTGCATGACAACAGGTGACTTTTAAAATAGGAGAATGATCACATTAAAATAATGGCCTTTGCGACCCGAACAGTTCCTCCCCCTTCCTCGAATGAGACGTGAGCATTTCAATGTTTCCTGGATTTATACACTTAGGAGACTCTGGGCTGAGCCTCACCATACACAGCCCGGATTTATGTCACCATCCTCCATCACAGAAATGGCCAGCCGCTTCCCAGAGTCACAGTTCAAACACAGCCTCAAGTGGATCTATAAATTACAGAAAATCCATAGCGCTAGGTATATCGGTGATACTTTAAAAACAGATCGTAAGTTCTGTAGCCATAAAGATGATCATTCCAGGCATCGATTTGTACCCACCACAAATGGGGATCCTCTGCGTGTTCACAGAGCCCTGCTCTCCAGCCCCTCTGCCCTTCACTGAAACTCCTGTGCACCCCAACGCAGGGGTCTGCCTACCAACACGGGGGCCTGCCGGGGCTTTGCATTTACAGAGCAATTGCTCAGCAATTAAACCGGTGCCGTCACCAGCCTCTGTGCTGGTACCTTTCCACAGTGCAAGGGCTTTCCAGAGGAAAGGGGGAGGGATATTCACTCTGTAGGTAGCAGCAGCAGCCAGCTCAGTGCCGTGACCTGGGGTGCAACAGCTGCCACCCTGGCATTCCTCGATGCAGCCTTGGGTTGCCCACCCTCTGGGTTCTTTCCAGTGGCTACTTGGGGTGACCTGAGAGTCGGTGCCTACTGGAGTACCAGGGGACCTGAAGATTCTAGGGGAAAGGACCCTGGAGTGCTGTTAGGAGGAACCACAGGTATGGAACTAAGGGTGGGGTGGGCTATGCCCCCATCGGATCCCAAAATGCCCAACCAAGTGAAGCAGCTCCTTCAGTCCTGGAAGCAAGGGGCCTGAAGAACTTGGGGGGCTGGGCCTGATCCTGTGCTGTTTCAGATTGGGTCTCCGTCGCCATCCCTGTGTCTGTGAGGAGTGCGCACAGAGGTGGTGCTGTGTGCCCCACGTGGAGCACTAGAGGATTCCCCAAAACAACATGAGCCAAAGCCCTCCGTGAGCATGGAGGCAGCGCTGGGCCAGTGTGAGCGGGGGTCACCCCCAGAGCTTGAAGAGCCTTGCAAACCTAACCTGGGGAGCGAGAGTTTCATCTGGGTGTAACAGGAAACTCAGTGGTGTCTCCAACCAGGAGAGCATGCATGTGTCCCCTCTTCTCCAAGGTCACTAGGGCTGGAGGGTAGCAAAGAGGTGGCCAGAGGCTGGGGGAGGACAGAGAGGGGAGAACCAGGGCCATTTGGCCAGGTGGTGACAGTGTCCAGGACAGAGATGGGTTTGATGATATTCAGCCAACTCTTCTTGCCAAGGCACCCTGTAGCTAATTCTGTAATAAGAGGGGTCCTCTGAATGGGGTCCCCCTGCCTACCTGCTGGCTCAGGTGCTCCTACCTTAGAGGTTACTTGTCTTGGCGTAAAGATCCTGGGAGCAGGATTCTGGAACCTAATCCATTTGCCCACAGTGTGGAGGGCAGAGGCAGCGTGAGCTCCTCCTACAGCCCCCGGCCAGGATTCCCACGGCGGGTTTCCTGATCAACACTAATCTAGGCACGGCTATGAGGGTCTTTGCAGATAGACTCGGGGTTCTAATCAGCTGAATAGAAGACAGGGAGATTATCCCGGATGATCCCTGGGCTCCGTGTAATCACGGGGAGCCCCGAGAAAGCAGAGGGGAGGGAGGAGCAGAGGAGCGGAGGGGCAGAGGGAGGGAAGAGATTCCAGGGGTGAGGACACGGCGGCTGCCACTGGAACTGAGAGGGACCCAGCCACAAACCGACAGCAGGAACCGGACCTGGACCTCGGTGCTGCCTCCTGAAGGAGCAGGAGGCAAGTCTAGGAAGGAGCAGATGGGTGGAGACTGGGACCTCAGCCGAGGCCCACAGGGAACCTGCTGAGCCCACCTGGCCTCCGCCCACGCAGAGGGTGAGGTCAGTGGCTCCTGTTCCGGGCAGCCAGGTGGCTGCTCATTTTGGCAGCAACAGAAAGTTACGTGCTCATCTTCCTGCTGAGGCCTCCTGCAGGTAAGGGAAAGCGAGGCTCAGAGGGGGTGGCGTGTGCAAGGCTGCGAGGGGACCCGGGGACCAAACTGGGGGCACCACACTCCGACCCAACCCCAAGCATCCTCCTCCCACTTTTGTGCAACCCTCTGCCCTTAGCCCCACGAGATGGTCCTTGGAAGCGGCAGGACTCCTGTCAGCCATCCACCCAGAACTGAGCAACGGGCACACTGTGGATGGAGGCGGGCACACTGTGGATGGAGGCGGTGGAGAGGACCCCGGGCAGCCCACCTGCAAGGCAGGACAGTGGGACACACCCTGCCTGCTGCAGGCACCGCCTCCCACCTGGAGGGCAGGGCTTTCCTCTGCCACCAGCCTGCACGTCTCCAAGGCAGGCCCTCAGAGGCACAGGTAGAATTAGGGCCTCTTTCAAGACCCCCTGAATCAGGCACTAAGACCCAGCATTAGCCTGCTGTCAAGCACTCTCCAGGACCACGGGGCAGAGAGGACAGACTATGACTTATGAACAGTGAGGCAAAGTGGCTATGACTCCAGAGCCGGCAGAAGTAGGCGCCAGATCTGACTCAGCTTCCCAGCCGAGACCTCGGGCAGGCTCCTGGATCCCCGCGGCCCTCAGTTTTCAGCATCTGTCTAATGGAGTCATGCCACCAAAAAGCCATCTCCCACAGGTGAACAAGACGGGCCAGGGACAGGGCTGGTCCCTCACCTGGCACTGGCTGATGAGGCTGTCACTGTCTTGTGACCACACGACTCCAAGTTGGAAATCACTGTCATCTAGAAATGAGAGGGGGTGTCTCCTCTAATTCTTTATTATCCCAGTGTTTAGCCACGCAATTATTGAAGCTAATTTATCATGATTTCATGTGGATTATTTTTTTTAAAAAAGCATAGACAGCAAAGCCATTAAGATAAAAATAGAAATGTAAATATGCAGCAAGCCTCAAATGTCCTCATTATCTGACTCACAGGCACTAGGGTTCTGAAAAAAGAGACTTAGTCACAGAGACAGGTAATGTCCACGTAAACCAGCCACTTTGGACTTGTAAGCAGAGAAACACAGTCCTGGACTCACACCAGAACCTCAGCTGCTGAAGAGAACCTCGTCTTGGTCTCGGTGCTCTGGGGAACCTTGTCCAGCCGTGTGCTGTGCATTACGCAGGTGCAGGCGGCAGGGGGCAGGCGGCAGGCGGCTGGCCCGACGGCAAGAACAGTGCTGTGGGGGCCAGGCAGCCTGGTGCCCCTAGAGCAGCCAGCAGCAGGGGAACTTCACTGAGGCTGGGAGGACAGTGCCCGTCATGGGTGATGTGGTAGTGGGCCCACAGCATAAGCTGAGCGTGGGAAAGGGTCCCTGCAGACTGGACACGCCTGTCTCCAGTTCTGCCTGTGGAAATGGTGCACGCCACTCAAGATGGTCAAAAATCGAATGCACTTTCAGGAAGACTTAGAAGCCTCTCCAAACAGAGAAGCCGGCTCCCACCAGAGACTCCCACAAGCCACACTTCCTACAGTTTGAGAGAGAAGGTGCTGCTGGATGCGGAAATTCTTCTGCTAATGGTCTCCTTTAGGGACGAGCCCAAGGCTCTATATCAGGCCAGACTCCCCCTGAAGGAAGAGCCCCTCTGAGCTGCAGGATGGGTCTCTCCACAGGGGAGAGGAAGAAGAGATCCCCCCAGTCCCTCTGTCCCCCATAACCTGGCCTCTCATGCTCTTGGTCAGTCCACAGAATTTTCAGAGCACCTACTATGTGCCGGGCATAGAGCTGCACGCCATGCCCTCAAAAGTGAGCTGATGCTGGGTCTGTTCCATGGAGAGGTTGGGTCACAACCACTGTGTTGTGGGTCCCATGACCACCCTGGGCTCGGGGACTCAGATGCCTGCCGTCTACTCCCAGCTGTGACACAGCCCCAGGATATAAAGGCACAGGTGTGGAGTGGAGCTGGGGACATGCCCACTTGATTCCTCCTGCAACAAGCCTGGAACACAGCAGCAGGTGCGAGCCGTTGACTCTGGAAGCTGCTTAGAGGCCCAGCACCCAGGCTTGGTGGGGCTGTGAGGTGGGCACCCTCTGGCCTTTGGTGGCCAGATTTCAGAAGGCAGCCAGCGTCTGGCTGAAGCCCCCCATGGTCCGCAGTTCAGGGTCCTGGGACTTGCAGCTGAGCACTTTTGTACAACTGCACGGGGCGGGGGGCTGTAGAAGGGCTGTTCTAGGACCAGGGCCACAAGGGAAAGGGTCCTTCAGACTGAGTGGCTGAGGGCATCTTCCCCAAGCAGCCACCAGTCTCAAGTGTTCCCATGACTGTGCCTTCCCACTGCCGGGTGAGGGTCCGTCCCCCACTATCAGGACAGGTGAACTGCACAGCAGAAGGATGGACGGGGACTCCAAGGTGGGCCTGCTCCTCTCCTGCTGAGAACACAAAGCACTCCCGCAGCACCCCTGCCCCAAATGCAGACACTGGAGTCCTGGAACTCGGACTGTGGCCTTATTGGAAATAGGACCTCTAAAGAGCAGCTGGGTGACACTGAGCCCTGTGAGTGGGTCCTCCTCCAGTCTGACCAGTGTCTTCAAAGGAAGAAGAGATCTGGACACACAGAAAGGGACCCCAGGGAGCAGGAGCAGAGAAAGGTGGGCACAGAGGGAGCCTCCTGCAAGCCAGCGAGAGAGGCCGAGAGGCGGCAGCCGGCTGCAGGCAGCTGACCTCAGACCTCCAGCCTCCAGGATGTGAGCAATCTGCACCTGTGTGCAGGCCACCCATCAGGGGCATCCTGTGAGGGCGGTGGCAGCTAGGCCAGCATGCTGTGGGGCCACGTGTCACTGACAAGCTCAGTCAGCAGGGGCCTCTCCTGGAGGTGACCCAAGGCTAAGGCCTGAAGGACACAGGAGAGTGCCCAGGCTGGCTACTCACCAAGCTTTGGGGCATCAGCAAAGGAGGCGACCACCAGCAGCCAGTCCAGCTAGTTTGGCTGCAGGGCCAGCTCGCAGGGCCAGCTCCCTGGCTGACAGAACGGAAGTTCCATTCCCACTCTTCTGGTGGGTGCCCCAGGAGCAGCACCTCACAGCCCCCATTCACCCTGCAGTGCTGGACACAGATGTCAGTGCCAACACTGGGCCAGGCTCCAGGTGGCAGGGTGCAGGGTGGTGGTGCCCATGTTGTTCAGGAAACCCACTAAGAGTCCCAACATGTCTTTGAGTGGACAGGAGGAGATGGGGGGGGCAGCAGAGGGGTGCACAGAGGACTCCCGCTGGGCCGGGCAGACGTGTGCAGCAGGAGCTTCAAAGACCCGGCAAAGTGAAAAGTCAAGCCTCGGAGAGAGCAAAGTACCAGATTAGACCAGAACATGTAAGAGGCTCCTACAACCAATTAGAAGACTAAGAACCCACAGGAAAACAGGGTTGAATAAAGCAACAGCCAACTCCCAGAAAGCGCCAATTAACAGCCAATTAACATAAGAAACCCTCTGAGGCAAGCTGGGAATG